TGAAATTTTTTATTCTTCAAATATTTTCTTTCCCTATTTGTCTTCAAGTGGTCTTTCCCAAAAAAATTGTGTCAAATGGCCTAGAGGAAATTTGTATTTTTAATGATAGGTGATGATAGGTAAGAGAGTTCTAAAATAACTTAAACTTTTTTATTTCATCTTTAAATTCTTTTAATTTAATTAGAGATAAAGAAAATGACTCATGGATAAAATTTGATTGGATGACCCTTGTAATCTTGAGAATTTGAGTGGCTAGAATTTGATTTTATCTCTAAATTATTTTAATTTATCTAGAGATAAAATGGAAGATTTATAAGAGAATTCTAATTAATTGAATTATGAGTCCTTGAATTTTGATTAGTCAAACCACATTTTTCATCTTGATTTACCAAAAGACTTCAATAAATCTTCAATTAATTTATTTATTAACACAAAAAATTTAATTGATCACTAAATAAAATTTTAAAAGAATCAAAAGGCAAGTGCCACATTGATTGCTAAAATATATATATATATATTTCTATAATGTGTTAATCTCAATAATTTTGTCAATGTTTTATCTTGATATAGTATTGACAGAAAACTTTTAATAATTCAGTTTGAACTTGATTGAATTTTAATTCTTAAATTCAAACTCGACTTGAGATAAACATCAAGATACTTGAGCTCAATTCCATGCTTGACTTCAAGCTCGATTATTTGTGTTCGAGCTCAAGCTCATTTTAATATATATATAAAGGTAAAATAGTAATTTTTAATTAAAATAAAAAATATACATTAAAATATACAAGCTTGATTAGGCTCTCAAACTATTTAAATCAAACATTAGGATGCCCGAACTTGACTCATTCGATAAGTCGAGCTACTAGTGCTTGAGCTTGGCTCGACTATGACCAAGTCAAATTGGAGTTTTATCTAAGCCGAACCCAAATAGCTTATGAGTATTGGTGTATCATTTACATCTTTAGGCACCATTGCCTCATCACACAAGGTCCAAACATTTGTTTTCAAAATTTTAATGACAATAAAAAATAAAAATAAATTAATTACATATTTATACTCAAATTATAGTGAAATTATTTGTTTTGTACTTAAAAATAAATAAATTCACAATTAAATGCTCAACCTTCATTTCGTTAGGTAGATTGCACATTTTTCTAATTTTATTAACCAAATGGATGACATAATAAAAATCAATCAATAAAAATTTAAACTCCTATCTTATAATTTGTCACATCACTCATTTATAACAATATAAAAAGGAGTCTCCAATTAACACTTCGTGCACCGTTCATAGAATTTTTCAATTTTGTGCCATTTGTCCTCTTTTGAACTACATGGTCCACTGTTAATTAATTGTTATCATTTACTTGACATGTTTCCAAGGAGGATGAGAAGGAATTTTCATCAATTACAAAGGCTATTAGGTCTAAACAAAAAAAGAAAAAGAAAGAAGGAATGAGGAAAAAAGAATGAGAAGAAATAGGGTTAGGAGTGAAAGAGAGTAAAAGTGGAAAAAGGAGGGTGGAAGCAAAATGATGGTGGTGCACGTCTGAGAAAGCATCGGTAGAAAAAAGAGATAAACAGAGAGGAAAAAATAAAAAATGAGAAAATGAGAGGGAAAATGACATTGATCTAGTTTCTTAATGCCGCTCCATTATGACTATTGCATCAAGTTGTCTGTAGCCATCGTTGCATCGTTGCAAGAGTTTGATCCTCTCATTTGTCGGTTAAGCAACCTTTGTCAAACGCAAACAAAAAAAAAAGAAAGGAAAAAATAGAAAAAGGGAGAAAATAATAATAATAATAATAAAAGCTTAAGAGAAAAAAGGAAAGAATAAAAATAATGCATATTTTTTATTTTATTTTGTAAATTCAAAAGTACAAATTAATACCATATATATTATATGTTTAAATTATACTAACTTCTATGTAGAAAATATTTTGAAAAATGAATAAAATGAACAGAGGTAAAAAATAAATTAAATTTATAAGATAATACATCAATGTTATAATAAACATTTTCACCATATCACATATTTGTTCCAAAAATATTATTTTTATATTATTTGTATATGACTAATTATTCAATTTCTTTATCCATTAGTTTTTTTTTCCTATTTCTCTCATTGTTTTCTTTATTTTCTCTTTGTTTTTCATCTTTTCTTTTTCTTTTAATTTAATAATGATGTTATATTGTTAATCTTTAATTAATTTTATCAACGTAGTTTTTTCTTTTCCCTTTCTTCCTATTTATATAATTAGGGATAAATACATATTTGGCCATTGTACTATATATTTTATGTCAGTTTAGTATTCAAAGAAATAAAATTATCAATTTGCTACTTTAACTTCCAATCCATCAATCACTTACCTCAAACTAATATCGTTAGTCAACTTATTAACATGACATTAATATTTAATAAAACGCTGATACATGTCAAAAAGTTTAATCAACGTCACATCAACTATCACGTCAATATTAAAAAAAAGTTCAAAATTTTTAAATAAATCTAAAATATTTTTAAAATTATAAAAAATTAAAAATTGAAATATTTTTAAAATCATAAAAATTTTTAAAATAAGAAAATATAAACAAATTCAAAAAAAATAAAACTTTAACCAAAATAAACATTTTTTAAAATTTAAAAAAATCACAAAAACTTTAAGACAATGAGAACTAAAAAAAATCTTATATTTTTTTTTAAAAAAAAATCTAAATTTCTTTTTAAAAAAATTCTAAAATGTTAAAAAATTTCAGAAAAAATTGAAATATTTTTAAATATTTATAAAAAATTTAAAAAATTATGAAAATTTTATAAAATATAAAAATAAAAAAATCTAAACTTTTTAATTTTTAATTTTTAATAAAAAAATCCCAAAAATCTAAAAAATTGTGAAAAATTAAAAAAAATATAAAAGAATTAAATATAAAATGACTCCTAAATTATACACTTTCCGTTAGGAATGTAAGCAAACAAAGCTTTCAATAAACCATTCGTGAACATGGTCAATTTTTATTTCATTTATATTCGTTTACTAAGCTTAACAAACAATCTTGAACATCATTTATATGTTCATTTATTAAACAAACCAAACACGAACAGCTGTTTGCTCATTCATTTATGTTCATGAACAAGCTCGTTTATGGTTCTTTTAAAACTCATTCGTTTATTGTTCATTTGCTGTTTTATCCTTTACCCTAATCCTATTTTAAATTTCGTTTATATTTGTTTATGTTTGTTTATATTCATTTAGATTTTGTTTGTTTAAATTTGTTTGGGTATGATTTGTTTGTTGTGCATGAATGTGTTCATTTATATATGTTCATAAACATATTCGTGAACATGTTCGTTTAATGTTCACGAACGAGCTAATTTAATTTAATTGAACGAACAAAAACTAAACATAAATAACCTATTATTTAAATGAATAAACATGAATGAACAGAGCAATTTTCTTAACGAACATGAACCGAATACGAACTCCATTAAAAATAAACAAACAAACATAAACATATGTTCGTTCATTCATATTCAGTTCATTTACATTCCTACTTTTTGTTAGTTTAGCATCTAAAAAAATAAAATTATCAATTTGATATTCAAACTTTCATTTTGTCATCACTTTGGTGCTTTAAACTAATATACTATTAGTCCACTGGCTAACGTGACATGAATATTTAATAAAATGCTAACGTGTCAAAAATTTCAATCAATACCAAACTAATGCGGTTAACTGACCACATTATTTTAAGATACTACTGCAATTGATGGAATAAGAGTTAAATTATGAAATTGATAATTTCATTTCTTTATATACCAAACTAACAGAAAGAATATAATATAAAAAGTAAATGAATAAAAGTTAAATTATGGAACTGATAATTTCATTTCTTTAAACACCAAACTCACAGAAAAGGTATAATATAGAAAGCAAATGATCATAATTAACTCATGCAATTATGATCATAATTAACTCATGCAATTATGATCATAATTATAACAATATTACATTATAAATTTATCCTTTTGAATGAAAATAAGAGAATTTCCCAACATAGTGTGAATTTGGTTCCTAATAAAATTAATCTCCGATGTCTATTTAATCTTTCAAACAAAATAAAATACAAATTATTAACAAAAGCAAAATTCAAATACTTATTTACAAATTTATAGACTTTAAATACCAAATCAAAATTTTAATTATAAAAGAATAACAAATATTTAATTATACCAAATTGCAAATGCACCAAATTCAAAAATTTTGTATTATTTTCAGATTTTTAAGTTTTTGTGATCTTTTTTAATTTGAAGAAATTATTTTTTAAAAAAAAATTCTTCATTTTTGGAATTTATAAATTTTCTTTAAATTTTTATTAAATTTTTTTTATATATATTTTTAAATATTTTAGTTTTTTTTTTTTTATAATTTTGAAAATATTTCAGATTTTTGAAAATATTTTTAAAAAATTTTAAAATTTTTTATGAAAATTTTAAAATTTTTAATATTTATATGACAATTGATGACATTAATTGAACTTTTGTCACGTACGAACACCTTATTAAATGTTTATTCCACGTCAATAAGTTAACTAATTATATTAGTGCGAAATACTAATGCAATTGAGAAATAAAAATTAGAATACTAATTTGATAATTTTATTTTTTTAGATATCAAATTAACAAAAAAATATACAATACAAGAAGCAATATGAACATTTAATCCATACAACTAAGATCATAATTATAACAGTATTTACATTATGAATTTACGTTTCTGAATGAAAATAACTGGATTCCACCACATAGCACAGACGTAGTTATTAAATTAATCTCCATTGTCCCTTTAATATTCCAAACAAAATAAAATAAAAATACAAAAGCAAAATTCAAATACTTAATTACAAAATTTTAAACTTTAAATTACCACATTAAAATTTTGATTATAATCAGAACACCAAATATTTAATTATACCAAACTGCAAATGCACCAAATTCAATGCAATTTTACTTGGGTCTAAATAAATTATTTACTCACCCCATCCAAATTTAATCCATAATTTGATGACTAATAATGCGAAAAATGAAGATAGAATAGTCAAGGAATGAAAGGACAAGAAAAGTAATAAAGATAGAAAAAGGAAGATGGTGAAAATATTACATTGATGACGAGGCAGATTGCACAGGGAATAGGCAAAAAAAGAGGCATACATTTATAAGGAAATGGACAGAATAATTCTTCTTCTGCAATCGGTCAATTTACACAGAATATGATTTTGAACAAGGCCTTATTACAGCATATTTATGGGGAAAAAAGTTATTGCGAAGGAATAAGAAAAATAAAAAGATAGAAGTCGATGGAACTCTGCTACACACAACAATTGGAGAAGTCTAACTACATTTAAAGCTTTATATTTTTGTGCCTGGCAGGCCCTTGTATCTCTTTGATACACAAAAATTATCATTATAAACAGTTATCTTTTATCACGCTCCACCTAATTAAATGCCAATGTGGCTCACCTGTACATTCTCATTCCATGAGGGATCCACCGGAGGTAGATGACATTCATCAGGTTTCAACGCTAAAGCAAAATCTGGTAAAGTTGGAGCTGTCTCCATGATTCTGAATAACGTTACCATTACTTATTTTATCCTCATTTTATTAACCAAAAGAATTGAATGTCAAATTTGGAATTAGAAACCGTACACTTACTTTTCATAAGAGTAGAGGTCACGGTTTATCCGCACCTTGCTAGAAGTGTCTTTTGGAATTTTCTCAGATAGATACTTCATGGTCCCCCAAAGAGGTGGATTTCTGCACTAAAAATCAAGAATCATTAGTGAGTATATTACAAGTAAGTACGATTTGCTGGTAGAGAAAATCTACTAGCGGATAACTTCAAATTACTAGAAGAATATGCTAGTTTGTCAGTATATAGCACAATAGAGATCAGGTCCAAACAGTGCAAGCATGTAAGGAAATCGTGTTGGCAAGATTATTTTACCAATCTAAGAGATCACCTGATCAAAAGAGTGTCTCAAGATTCAACCCAAGATACATCTATAGTCTCTTATAAGAAGCAAAATCAACATACATCTCTAGTCTACCATTATTGGGAATTTACACAAACAACTATTTTTATTTTGTTTGAATGAAAGTGAGCCAACAAATCTTATTATCTGCTGATAACACCATCATGCTGTCAATTTTTCAGATAAAATTTTCAATGTAAACCAAGAATCTCAGTACTTGCAAACCCATTTCAGCCGAATCTCAAAAAGCTTAGGGCAGAATTTCCCTCAAAAAATGCTTAGGGAAAAGATTTGAGACAAGAAATTTAGCTAAAATACATTATGTGCAAGTAAAATCAACATCACACGATACCGGCGTGTTTAAATAAAAACAGAGTTCTCTTATAAGATAAATTTTAGTTGCAAGCATAGATTATTATAAAATGAGACAAGAGATGTCAGTTTTTGCATGTCAATTTTAAACAAGGAAAAAGGAAGAGTATAAGAGTTTTGTTACCAAGTTGAATAAGACATCAACTGATTTTCAAAATTTTAAAATAAAACAGCGAATTTGTGTGATAACAATGCCCCTTGTGAGAAAACACTTATTTACAGCTAGTTGTAATCTTGTAATTTGTATATTTATATTTGTATCTCTAGAATTAAGTATTTTTATCCCTATAATTAAGGATAAAAAATTAGGATAGACAATCCCTCAATTATAGGATCAGTTTTAGGAAGATTTAGTTTCCTAGTTTACCTACTAATTAGTTATATATAAACCTAAGGTGCTTGTATAATTCTTTATGAGCAGTTTTTCAATATACATTCAGTTTTACTCATAGTTTTCTACACAGTTTTATTTTTTAGTTTTTTCACATGGTATCAGAGCTTCAGGCTCTTCTTAAGAAGAAAATTTTTTTCAACCTTCATTGCTGAATTCTATTTCAGGCCTTCATACCCAAATCTTGTTAAATCTTTCAGTCTTATTTTTTCCCTCTTTGGCCTTCATTGCCTAGAATCATCACTGGTTAAATATTTACTATCAAGACTCGTTTCAATTCTAATAAAGATAACCATACCAGAGATATTAGAATCTGCCACTACTACCTGATTTGAAGAAGTGACAACTGGTAAAACCAGCAGAGTACTACAAAAGTCTTGGGAACAAATAAAGTTGGATAGAGAAGAGATTGAGAAACTAAAAAGCCTATTGAAAACTCTCGAAAAACCTACTGGGGTATGTTATTTGGGTAAGGTCTCTAGTTCAGGTAAAGCTTTTGGTTCTCATGGATTAAATGTCTCAGTTAAGCCAATTACAAGTTCTTGAGTCATTGATCCAAGAGCCACAGACCAAATGACACATTCCCTACAGAAGTTTAGTACATATACCCTATGTCCTAGTAATAAGAAAATTGTTGTTGCAGATGATTCACTTACTATAATGGCAAGATTAGGAGATGTTCAAATTCATCCCTCGTTTGTTCTTAAAAATGTTCTTCATGTTCCTAGATTGTCTACTAATCTTATATCTATACAAAAACTTACCAAAAATATGAATTGCAAAGTGACTTTTTATCCCTTTTATTGTGAATTTAGACCAGAGCTCGAGGAAGAATATTGGATTTGCTAAGAAAAATGATGGACTATGATATCTTGAGACATCAAACAACACAAGTAATATCAAGAATAGTTTACCTTTGTCATTTCTTTCTAAAAAATCTCCCAATAAAGACCACATCTGGCTTTATCATTTTTATCTTGGACATCCTTCCTTTGGAATTTTGAAAAACATGTCTCTTTCTTTGTTCAAAGGATTAAATGCTAAAAATTTTTACTATGATGTTTGTGAACTTGTAAAACATAGACGTGTGTCTTTTCCAATTAGCAATAAAAGTAGTTCTACTCCTTTTACTTGTTTCATAGTGACATAGAGGGTCCCTCTACAATTCCTAATTTTTTTATACAAGGTGGTTTGTTTCTTTCATAAATGATTGTACTACGGTCTCTTGGATATTTTTACTTAAATCCAAATCAGATGTGAATAGTGTGTTTTTAAGCTTCCAAAACATGATCCAAAATCAATTTGGAGTAAAAACCAAAAGATTTAGGTCTGATAATGCAAGAGACTATTTCGACCAAAGTTTATCTACTAATTTCCAAGAAAAAGGGATTATCGATGAGTGATCTTGTGTTAGTATTCCATAGTAGAATGGAGAGGCAAAGAGGAAAAATAGTCACTTACTAGCCACAACCCAAGCTTTACTTTTTCAAGCAAACGTACCCAAATCCTACTGGGGGGAAGCTATTCTCACTGCCACACATATTATAAATAGGTTACCTTCAAGGGTTTTGAGATTTAAAACTCCTATGAAACTACTCTCACAATTCTATCCCAACTTTAATTCCACAAACAACCTCACACCTAGGATATTTGGTTATACATCATTTGTTCATGTTCACAGTCACAATAGGAGGAAGTTGGATCCTAGAGCAATTAAGTGCATTTTTATGGGATATTCATCAACTCAAAAAGGGTATAAGTGCTATCATCCTCCTACTAGAAAATTCTATGTCAAAAGATGTCACTTTTGAATAAGTAAACCATTTTTTACTCAACCTTATCTTCAAGGAGAGACTTCATTCATGGAAGATAAGGATAAAGACTTCTTTTTTCTTAATTTGTCCTCCTCTTCAACATTTTCACTCATTAATTCTTCTGAATCGAAACCTATTTCTTCTAAGTCAAAGTCAAACTCTGAATTTGAGTTTGAACCCATTCCAAACACAAAAGATGTGACAAAGGATAATATTGTTCTTGATTCTATGAAGGAATTACAAGTGTACTCAAGAAGGAAAGTTCTAGATCCTAAACTAGTGCAAGTTCAAAAACCTGATCCTAACTCTAGAAATGAGGTAACAATAGTTTTTCACTTTGTTTCTCAGAATGAGCATAAATCTCCTAAAACTATAACTAGTGATTATGATCTGCCTATTGCTATTAAGAAAAGAACCAAAGAATGTACTAAGTATCCACTATAACCAATCTCTAATTGTGTCATTTGAAAAATTCTCACCATCCCATAAAAATTTTCTTGTGAACCTAAACACTATTTTTGTTCCAACTACATTATCCAAAGCATTATCTAGTGAGAAATGGAGGCAAGCCATGAAAATAGAAATGGAGGTCTTTAAGAAAAATAAGACATAAGATCCGGTAAAGTTGCTTAAAGAAAAAAATCCAGTTGGGTGTAAATGAATTTTCACTATAAAACACACAGCGAATGCTACTGTTGAAAGGTATAAAGCCACGTTGGTGGTTAAGGGCTACACTCAAACTTAGGGACTGGATTATCAAGAAACTTTTGCTCTAATTGCCAAGATGAATACAATTAAGATTTTGTTATCATTGGCTGCAAATTACAATTGACATCTTCAACAATTTGATGTAAAGAATTCTTTTCTACATGGTGATTTGGAAGAAGAAATATATATGAAGGTCCCACCGAAATTTGGAGGTCATCTAGAAGCAAATAAAGTATGCAAGCTGAAAAAGGCTTTATACGGCCTTAAATAGTTTCCTAGTGCTTGGTTCGGGAGATTTGCCAAAATGATGCTAGCAATGGAATATAAGCAGAGTCAAGAAGATCACACATTGTTTATCAAACACTCTGATTCAAGGAAAGTCACAGTTCTATTAGTGCATATTAATGATATAATTGTAACTGGAGATGATGAAAAAGAGAATCTCTAAAACAGTGTTTCACTAGAGAATTTGAGATAAAAGAGCTAGGGAGATTGAAGTACTTCCTAGGAATTGAAGTAGCTCACTCATGGAATGGTATTTTCATCTTACAACAGAAATATGTGATGGATCTTCTGAAGGAAACTAGGAAGCTCACATGTAAACCTACAAATACCCCTATAGATCCTAATCATAAACTTGGGGAAGCTAATGAAGATACTGTTGTAGATAAAGAGATGTACCAAAGATTAGTTGGAAGACTCATTTATCTCTCACCTGATATAACCTCTATTGTGAGTGTGATAAGTCAATTTATGCATAGTCCTAAAGAAGTGCACCTACAAGCTGTCTATCGTGTATTGCACTATTTTTGAAGGCCAACCTTGAGAGAGCTATCTTATTCAAAAGAAATTCGGGGCTGGTTCTAGAGGTATATACATATGCTGATGATGCAGGTTTAGTAACTTATAGAAGATCCACCTCAAGCTACTGCACTTTCCTATGTGGTAATCTTATGACTTGGAGGAGTATAAAACAGAATTTGATGACAAGATCAAATGCTGAAGCAGAGTTCAAAGCAATGACCCAAGGAATTTGTGAACTAATATAGTTAAAGATTATCCTAGAAGACTTGAAGATCAAGTGGGATGGACGAATGAGACTACTATGATAATAAGCCTGCAATAAGCATTGCACACAATCATGTGTAATATGAAAAAACAAAACACGTTGAAATGGACCGGTATTTCATAAAGAAAAAACTAGACAGTGGGTTGATTTATACACCGTATGTATCAACCAAGGGTCAACTTGCAGATGTATTGACTAAAGGTCTCAGCAGTGCAACATTTCAAGAAATTATTTCCAAGCTAGGAATGGAAAACACCTACTCACCAGCTTGAGGGCGAGTGTGAGAAAACACTTATTTACAACTGGTTGTAATCTTGTATCTGTATATTTATATTTATATCTTTAGAATTAAGTATTTATATCCCTAGAATTAAGGAAAAAAAATTAGGATAGACAATCCCTCAATTATAGGATCAATTTTAGGAAGAATTAGTTTCCTAGTTTACCCACTAGTTTGTTGTATATAAACCTAAGATGTTTGTATAATTTTTATGAGCAGTTTTTCAATATATATTCAGTTTTACTCTTAGTTTTCCACACACCTAATGGCAGCACATATTAGTGTTAAGTCATAATCTAGTAAGAATATTGAACAAATATTTAAGCATTTTTTTATGAAATTATTTCTTTTATAATAATAAGACATCAATGTGCACCAAAGATTTTAGTTTGTGCTACCAATCTTAGGCATCATAAGGATTACAAAGACCAAGAGTTTGACTCATAGCTTCATAGCATGGTAGGCACCTTCCTTGGTATCTAGAGGATCATTCTAAAGCGCACAACTCACTAAAGGTTGATCCACAACTTTTTGAGGGAAAATGGACTCTAGTTAATTCAAAGATCAGTTAGAAAAATTCAAGGACTTGTTTGAGTGGTGTGCTTGACTGACCAAAACAAACAAGTTAGTTCACCAAGTATTTACCTTCAACAAGCCAATAATGTAACCAGTTAGTTATATGGGGTAATTTATGAGCACATGCATCGGTGTAGTTGAGAAGGATCCTTTTCATAAAGCTAGGACGTTTATTCATGGAATAAAAAGGAAACCAAGAAGGATGTACAACTCTCTGTTATTTAGAAGAAGCTATAAAAGTGCACTCATTGCTGAGAACTAGGGAATTTTTCCAACATGTCACTTCTTTACAGTTTGATAGTCATGTTCAATCCAAGGGCATCTTATTGTTAAGACTTAGGAATAGTACTGCTAAGAAAGGCATCTTACCATTAGAACTTAAGAATGGGAGAAATGCTAAGAATTAGGAATTTTGTCTTTTAATACCAACAGTCCTAGAGCCTATTTGGCCAGAGCACAGTGGAAAGAAAAAGTATTCTTGGAGTAGAGATCTCAGCAAAGTGCTATCAAAATGAATTTATTTGAAATAACAATGATAATATTTTTTCTATTTAAAATTTTATTAAATTTTCCTATAAGCTTTTCGTTAAATAGCTTTTTTCAAAAGCACCAATGTAGCTCCCAAAAGCTCATAACTGTTTTAGCAAAACCCTGTTTGACCTGGGTTCTGCCTCTGGAGTAGAGAAAGCTGGGTAAAACAGCAGCTACTGATCCTAATGGATTTAGTGGTTCTTCAATTAAGTGTTTTCCATGCAATACTCAAGGTTACATGGCTTCACAGGGTCCAGAATGAGCTTAATTTCTGAAGTAGAGAAGGAAATTTCCATATAGTGAAAACTTTGAATATCCCAAGGATGATTACCTTGGAAAGGAAAATACCAACAAAGTGACAACCATATTTAGGCCAATGGATGATTTGATATCAAAGAAGGACTAGAGGATGATGTTGGTTATAAGAATGAGGAAACAGAAAGTGCACCTAAAAGAGTGAGTAAAGACATTGAACTTATTGAGTGCACAAGTGCATTCCCTTTTCAGAGTTCTATAGGGAGAAATGAACTGGTACTAGTGATTTGAAAATTGGATATTAATTAGCTAGTTGTCTACCAATTACTATGTGATACTAATTAGCTAGTTGTCTACCAATTACCAAATAGGCCATAAATACTTGTGTTACACCCCCCCCCCCACCTTGGCAGGCCTTTTCTGTTTCTTCCAGCACTATGAACATAAGGTAACAATTATACAACCTGATATGGCACTATGATTAAGTCCTTGTGGCAATTGTGGAAGCAGTTTTATCATTAAGTTGTGACGATGAGATTGTAGGACCTAGGATGGCCAGGGATAAGCATCAAATTTTTGCCCCCACAGATACAAAGATAGGGTTATAGCCCCCTTGCCACCTTCCTATCTGTTCCTGTTCCTACAAGGCTAAAATTAGCTTGGTTCCATAGCCTAAGAACACAGATAGATTCCTCAAAAAAGAAAAAAATGCTTAGAGAATAAATATCAATTACAACAAAAGACCAATTAGACATCTGAATTTAAATCCCAAAACAATCCAATATAAATTACCTAGACAAAGGATGAGCTGCATTAAACACCTCACAAGCCTTCTTACTTTCTTTGAAATATTCATCAGCAGCTTGCAAAGCAGCTACAGCCATACCATGGGATTTCTCTGTGTTTCCCTCATCAAGGATTAAACCATGATAATAATATGCTGCAGCCTGCATTTGTATAAATAAATTAATTAATTAAATTAAATTACTACCATTAGCCAAGAAATGCAGCCTCAAGATAGTCATCTCTGTATTTGTACAAATAAATAAATTAAATTATTACCATTAGCCAAGAAATGCAACCTCAAGATAGTCATCTCTACAAGCACCATATGTCAGTAGTAAAAGAAACTGTTGTAAATATAGTAAGTAAATATTTACTTAATTATGGTGGCCAAAAAATATATATTTATTTAATTATAGGGCTGACTTTAGATAGCTTGATTTTAGGACTTAAATTGATTTGATTCTCTAGCTTCAGTATATATATTTACCTAATGTAATTCTTGAGATATGGAATAGAAAAGACATTTTGTTCTTCTTCTATATAAAAGAAACCATGTTGGGTGCATCAGTACAGTCTAACAAGTCAATTTTGCCAAGCAAGGTCGGTCAGACCTACAAAAGTTTCAGTAAACAAAATAGAAAAGTAACATCATAAAAGAAATTTGATCCGAGAAAGATCACATTTCAACTAATCCTAATAGCTAAAAAATAAGCTGTGGAGATTAAAGTTGGTCAGCAAACAGACTACACGCCCAAACAGTAACAATCCCTTGTATAGGAAAAGCTACCATATACACTTGACGGTAATAATTACTGCAATATCCTACAGATATAGGCACCATCTCTAAGATTGTTCTACTCACTAAAAGTACAAAGCTAATAGTTATTTATATGTTTGCTCGGACTCAAGTTTAGCATAGATATGCATCCAAATGTCTGACATGAAATTGCACACAATTGAAGACATCACTATACAGCTATGCAAGGTCTGACAAGAGAGTAAGGGTGCAGAAATTCATCATCCCTATTAGAGTGTTAAGATTTTTAATATTACCATATCGGTTGTCTAATGATTTATATTGTCTAATGATTTATAAAAAGTTAAACATGATATCAACTTTTGGGTACCACCCTGCCAGCAGAATACGATAAAGGAAAATGAGTTCCAAATATCCATTTTTCCATGCTCATTTAAATTTGGCTCAAACTATGCAAAACCAAATGGCATTGGATGGTTTTTTCGCTCTCTTCACATTTATTGATTTTTTTTGTTTTTGTGAAGGAATTGCATTAGTAAGTGAACCTGACCAAAAAAATTAATAAATTGGTGCCATTGAGAATGTGAGGAGTGGAGTCAATATGAAACTGAATTTAAACACTACTGGTATTATTGCAGCCCAAATGACCTTTTTGGTCCTATTTATTCTTCATTTCAGAATATTTCCCTATTCCTCTCTTCTCATTTCCGGTCACTTAATTCTGTCCAAATCTGTCCATCACAGTTTTCCCACAATAATGCCCCATTCTCTCTTTATTCAGCATGCTTCTTAGAATTTCCTCAATTGATTATACCTTGTTTTGGTTTGTTTTGGGGTATGAAGATTTTACCATAGTTGAAGCAAAATAGTAAGGAAAGAGAAAAAAATCTGGTTAGAGTAGCAAGTAGGCACACTATGTGTCATTATCACTGAGCAGATTTTGGAGAGTTTGGACACAAATTCCAAACACAAGCCAATGTCAAGCCACATTGACACAGGAACACCAAAAATGTGAGTCTAAGCAACATCGAGTTATTCAATCCAAATTCAACCAATACAAATGCCACACCAATCACTATGTTTCAATTAATTCACAAACTGTCCTCAATAGCCATCTATAGATTTTCCTTGTTGCATGGCAGAAAGTTCAACAAGTTTCATCACTTCCTTAATCAAGGTTGCTTGTCAGCAACCAAACTGATTTAGCAAAAGTACATTAATATCTATCATGTTGAGGGCCTTGTCTAATTTGCTGGCTAATCTCTTTCTTAAGTAGAAGAAGAATATAGCTCACACTGCTAGAAAATCTAGCAAATATCCCTTTGATTGATATTTGCTACATTCACCAAATATTGTTAGTATTTCATCAAAAAAGGTACCATAAACTGATATTTAAATTCAAGAATGCACTTAGAGAATATTTACATAACCATGCTTTTGTCCTCATGACTAATAGAGAAATGAAAAAAGGATGATATGGATAATTCTATATTTTTACAGAATTACCATAGCTTTTCATAGGCTTTTATCGTGAAATTTTGCTTGTTTCTTAGGAAAATGAGGAAAAATTACTCCTAATTGTTAAAATGTTCCTTGTGTAGGTAATTCTATGAATTTTGAGGAAAAAGGATAGTTTGAGGAAGAACTAGAAGTATTTTAGTGCAATTTCCCTTGATTAGCTGAACCTAGTGTACAAAAGAAATTATTGCTATATGCAAGATTTCCTTAGCTTAATTATAGTTGCTTTCATTTACAATAGTGCTTAATTAGACTTATTTCAAGTTACATTAATTATGGATACTTTCTCCAGTAGCTAATTAGAATTGTTTGAGCTTTGCAGTAAAAATGCAAAGAAGCTTTAGGAGGAAGGTGCAATAGAGAGTGGTTTCAAGGCTTAAGAAGAGCTGATTTGAAGCTTGAATTTTGTTGAATTTTAATTGGCTTAGTTGGCATTTAGATGACATCTCATTGGCTGAATTTCAACCTCAAAGATCACTACAAAGGGGCCCCGAAAATAAAGAGGTGAAGGAGATGTGAGCTGGCTGAACATAAAGGCGATGCATAGGAGCACTTTGGTGGTTCAAGTGTGAACACAAGGGAAGGCCAATGGTTGCTTGCTGACTTGGCATTTTAGAGGCTTCTTATTGGTGCAACTTAAGTGACTTGGAGCTTGGTGAACTCAAAGACGAGAGGACTTGAAGAGAGGAGAGGAAAAGAGTGCAACTAGAAGACATTCTAGAAGAATTTAAATGAGTTGGAAATATCTTCCCACTTGGCATCCTAGTTGGTAATTTGGAGTGCTCGTTGGTCTTAGATCTAGACTTGTCTATAAATAGGAGAGATGGGTGGCAAAAAGAGGGAGCTCAAAACTTTCTCTCTAGGCAGCTTTCTCCTCTTTTCTTTTGGAGGCTGTTTGGGGAAATTTTCTCTTTAATTTTCTTGCAAATTTACTTTCAAGCACTTTAATTTTCATGCACATTTACAGTTCTTTAATGCAATTTACAAATTCCTTTACTTTCTCGCAAATTTTCTTTCATTTTCCTTTAATTTCCCAAAGTTGTTTGGTTACTGTTTTCTCTGCACGTGTTTCGGTTTTCACTCTAGATCACTAGGTTTTAGTCATGTTTTTTCTCTAAATTTTTACTGAATATTCTACATTCATAGCACTACAGATCTGGAAATTTTTCAGCTTTGAGTTCGTTCTAGTTTTTTTTTTTTTTCTAAAATTCCTCAAAGTTTCAGTTCAGTTGCTGGCAGAAGAGGAGGCAGCAGTGGTGACAGCACTTGTGGTGGCCTTTTCCCCTAGCTAGGCGGCTGGTCCACTCTTGCTCTCTTTACTCAATTGTTAACATGTGTTTAGGTGTAGATTTATGATTCCATGCAATTTAATTCATGTTTTTAGTGGCTGTTTGGTTCATTTACATGTTGATTGCTCTGTATTCTCTGTATTCTCTGTATTTGAGCTTGACTTTGATTTGAGTTAATTGAGCTTTTTTTTTTTATTGATTCTTTTTGCTGATTTTAAACTTCACTTGCTAATTGAGTTGCCTTAAGTTCAGTTTCAGTTCATTCTTTAAATTGAGCTCCAGATCTAGGATTTAAGATTCAGTGAATTTAAATTATATTCATGGTTTCATTCTCGGATTGTAAGTTTTTTGCATTTCCTTTATTTCTTTCATGTTAAAATGTTTACAAGTTAGATTTTGCAATTAAATTTATAGTTCTTATGTTTGGTCATTTCACTTTTGTGCAAGTTTTCATTTGGTCTTCATAATTCCAACTTTACTTCTTGCTGTGTTGTTTCAATTCATGTTGTTACTTGTTTTCCTTAGTATAGGAGTAGTGTAATTGATAACCCTTGGTTCAATTGATTAAATGTAGTTGTAGTATATTGATCCTTGGTACTTAGACTAGGCTGCCCCAATATTCAGTATTTAAGGGACGATACTTGACTTATCACTTTTATTCCTTGAATGGCCTGTGCACCTACAGTACCAATGAAGTTTTTGATAATAATGATTCAAGCAAAAACATTTAAGCACATATCAAGAAAAATTATCAAAAATTTTGGAAAATATTTGAACAAATTTTCCTATACTTACCTTAGCTTCAATATATTTCCACTTTATAAAAAGTCGATGCTTTTCACCCCATCCATTTGATAATGGTAGATTCATAATGTTATCTTGAGCCTATAAAGAAAAGGCAATAAATATAAATATAAATATATGTTTGAAGATCAGTAACTACACTTTTATTCAACAAATAGATGATATAGTGAGACAAGATGAATGATTCATAAAAGGCTTAGTGAAGAAAGAAGACAAACCATGATTTCTATAGCAAAATAAGTAAATTTTCAAAAACTTTTTTATTAAACTATGATAAAAATAAAGGTCATAATAGATTCTCATTAACTGCCAAAAATTGTGACCTAGGTGAAAAATTATCAGGACATCATTAGTCTCATTCAAACTACATAGTATCACCAATAAAACACAAGGCCTACACAAAACTGAACAATTATATATGCAAATCAAATACAAAAGAAAATTTGACGAAAAATTAGAAGTATAACAGAAATGAAAACTTTAAAGGATGTACATGGCTGGTCAGAGCTCAAAATATGATAAAACAAAAGGTGCACTCATACCTGCTGCCAGTATTTCACCATCTCACATCCAAGCCTTCGCTTCACAGCTAGCGTAGCCTTGGTACTATCAATTGCCATTCCAAGCTGGATATCAACACCCTACACCAGACAAAAGTAACCCTTAACCATGAAGAGATAAAAAATGCCAACACAGTTTTTGTTCAAAATTGTTCTTAGACACGCGCACCCACACATCAAAATGAAAGAAAATGCAAATGAACAACACTCAATCCGTCCACTAATGTGTTCTTTAAGAAATGAAAGACTATCACTCCATCTCATTACACCGCATAAAAGTTTTTTAATGTACCAAGAGCATGAAAAGAAACACAAATGAGTATACAAGAATGGTCCTTTTAGCAAACAAGTACTAATTCCTGTATTAATGTATTAATTCCATGGCATTTTAGCAAACAAGTCATGTTTCCAAAAGAATGGTCCTTCTATGCTTGTCTTATACAATAAAGTCATTCACAGCAATAACAAACAACAAAGTAAGCCTTTTCTCACCATGTATGGATCATATTGAACCATTATACTTATACAAAATTATATCCTCAAAAGGCTCAACTAAAGCAAGATCCTTTTTCCTTAGTTTATATCCATGTTCTGTTAGAACTTCCTCTGTATTTCTTAATACAAGTATCCTCTGTTAATCACATCTTCCCAATAGGCATTTGTAAGTCTCCTCTTATTCACTAATTCGAATTCTTAATTTTCCCTGTATGGCCATCCATCTAGGGTACCCTACCCATCTCAGTCACACTCCTAAATAATATATCATATCACACTGTTGTGGATGCAGAAACATATCCTCAATGTTATTCTTAAACAGGAGCTTTTGGTGCTCAACATGATATTGACAACTGAGAGCCCAATTTTTTGGACAGAATATATTATATCCCATGTTATTCATGTTCAGTACACCTAAATTAGATTGTTTTACATAGTCCACATTATTCAAGGTGCAGAAGAAGAAGAAACAAAAGGAAGAAGCTCAACTTTAAGGACTTTATGCATACATGTGGCATAAAGGATACAAGCATAATATGTTATGCACCTAGACTAATTCTTGGAAAAATAGGATACAGTCCAATATACTGTTTCCTTTTCTTTTCTTCTTTCTTTTTGTGCTAGTGTTTGTTGTGAGTGTCTATACTATCTCAATTCTATAAGATCTTGTTTATTACAAGTTAAGTCATTAAAGAAAAAAACTGTGTAAAAAGTGGAAAAAGGTTCTTACAAGGTTCAGCATGTTTCTGACAATCCAAAAGTTTTTAACATTGGAAGTGCCAGAAAGGTTGAAATTTTTGCTTTTAAATTGGATATGTAAATTAAGTATCAGAAATGTATTTGGAAGCACTAGATGACTGTACTGTATCCAACATGGATATAATGCAGGATAGAGCTGCCATCTAACAAGCTACACTATTTATGCTTCTAGAAAATACTAGTATCTTTAGCATTTAAGGGCAATTCACACAACTAAACAGCTGTCATCAAATGAAAAAGAATATCAGATGTGTGCAGCAATACAAATCCAGCAACATTCAGACATGTCACTCCAATGTTTACAAGAATATGAGAATGATAGAATAGTTTATTGATTGCCAAAATGCATTGATAGTCATTAAAAGAACAAATCCACCAAATGAGATACCAGAAAGTCCGCATTTATAAACTTGATTCACAAGCAACCTAATAGATCATACCTATATCTATTCAGATATGAAGTTAGTACCTGCCCTAATGCTTGCAAACAAAGTGCTCGAAGAACTCCTTCTGCTAGGTCTACTGGTAAATTTCTCCTACCATCAAAGTTGAGATCAATAGATTACTACTAAATTTGGAAAGCAAGAAAGTGATTGTGAAGATATCAACAAAAGTTGACTGCAAGTATTTCATCTTTATACACCTGAGTTCAGGTGGCAACTGAGGGAGAACATGCCTGACAGCATAATCCAAGTATCCAGCTGCCTTCAAGAAAATATCAATAGAAGCTCGTCTGCTTTCTGTTTATTGAGAAAAAATGGCATTCATTAGGCCCATGGAAATAAAGCTTAAAGCAAAGGTAAGAATGGAAATCTAAAATGTGTAGAAAGGACCAATAGATTTGGCAGTACTCAGTCCTTTAAACTTTAAAAACAAAAGCAGAAAGGGAAAGAAAGAGTACAAAGCAATATCAGCCAGAGAGAATAATCAGCATTGGAATTTTCTATTTTCTTCATAACTACCCACCTTCTGATACTTTTGGCTGATAACCATCAGCAGAAGTCCTTGGAAGAAGCAATAAGTTGGCTTGTGATAATGATAACATCGCCATCAAATGCAATACTGACAACACTTCATACCAAGCATTAAACATGGCTGTTTCCTGCCAAAAAATTGATTCACATCAATCTGTATTCCTCAAAGAGTAGAGGGACCAATTAAAACACCAAAACCAAATAAAAGGCAGGTTGAAAATAATAGCCTAAACCCAGTCAGACCTCAGCATCATCCTCCTGATTTATCCAAATAAACTGTACTTTGTATTGTAGCTGGCTCCCTGAATGATAACAATGAACCATAGTGTTAGACTTTGCCTTATACAGCATACTAAACACTTTAAGGAGTGTGACACTTAATAACATGTTTCACCATCTGTAACTAATCCCAAAAGCATAGGCAAGTAGTCTTCAAGAGCCTGATGAAGATCTGCCAATGTTGAACCTCCTGTAGACAGTATTTTCGACTGAAATATCAGTAAAAATGCTTAAGACAATCCATTTAGAAGGAAACCAGGTTTGCCTGCAACAAACCATGCTGTGTAGCAGTTTTCCTCCTTGTTCTTGTAATTGTAGGTGCTTCTTGGCCAGCTATAACAACTATACGAGTTCTCAAGGCAGTAAGGCGTTCCACTAACGTCTTTGACAAGTGACCACTGAGTGATTGAAAGAAATCAATAGGCTTGGGAATTCGTAAACCTGGTACATACACAGAAACTTCTCCAATATTTCCTGGCCTCCTCCTATTTCCCCCAGAATCCATCGGTGTTGAAACCAGACATCCCATATCTTGAGAGTTACAATAGCTGCCAATCCAGGAAGAATGAAGTCAAATTCCCCGATAAAATCAACTTATTTCCAGCATGAAAGACAGGAGTCCTAAAGTGTGTAGCCAATATAATGAGATAGACTATAAAAGGGAAGGGCAAAGTGGAAGGAACACAGACATGTCTTGCAAAAGAAGCATATGAGAGTATGCAATATGCAAGGCATAGAGAAAAAACTAATTAAATGTCTAACCAACAAAGCAGAACTAGTAGGTAACTCACGAGCCCCATCAAAGGACTCCAACTACAACTCTCCAAAAGATTTTTTACTTTTTTAATAGAAAGCAAAAGAAGAGAAAAGAGTGATGGATTTACTCACCTTGTTGTCCCTTATCAGAAGAAGGTTAAGGAATAGGTCAAAACTCTACAAGTTTCTGCATTCAAAAGTAAAAATAAAGGAGGAGGAATAAGTAAACGGACCAAATAAGTAAATTGATAAATAAAAGCAAGTGCATCACGAGAAAGGCATGAACCTTTTCATATTGCAATGAAAAAGAGTGCTTAAATAGTTGGACTTTCCATTCTAAGACAATTTTAGATGGTTCTGCATTCAAAATTCAAAAGAATAATGTGAAAGCGAAGAATTATGAATTGAATTCACAAGCAGCTTTAATAATAACAACAATAACAAGAGACCATTTAATTTTATTCGAATTGCGAGTCAAGAAAGCATCTCTGAAATTTTGACTCGAAGCATAATGAAAATCGTAATGTTTAGTAAAGCAGAAACCAGAAGATCAATCATCAAAGTGAAAATGGAAAAAAGAAAGAGACAAAAGCATTCCAACTTTTTGCTTCCGCGATCGAAAGCAGACAGTTGATCAAAGCTGTGTAAAATCAAAAAAGAACATCTCACCATGCGTCTGAGTAAAGAGTCAAACTCCAAAATCCAAAACCCTAGCAGCAGCGTTAGCGGGCAAGGCAATTGCTTTTCCTTTTGAGGAGGAAACTTGAAGCGATTGAGAGGAAACGTCTGAGAATTTCCAAGTTTCTGATGGGAACTGAAGAGAGAGAAGGGCGGCGCTTGGAATTAGAATTAGGATAAGTCGCTTTGGTGCCAAAGCTTCATGGTGGCATGAGTTAAAAGGCACCCGTAACTGTAATGCGTTGCAGTTACAAGAAAAATAAAATTGTTAAGTACAAAAATTTTAAGGTTGATTGATTTGAGAAAATATTTTTTTATTATTTAAAAATTAATTTTAAGGAATGTATTCGTTGAATCAAAATAAAAGTTACTTTCTAAAAATGCAAAATATTAAAATATGTTTGATATTAGTGTATAATTTTTTTTTTGTTTCACATGTCTTTCCTCTCTCTAAAACCTCTTTTCGTACGCTTTATTTTCTCAATCGACAATTATCTTAAATCTAGGCTCTAACTTTTGATCGTTGCCTTTGCTACTGCTTGTTCGCATTAGAGTTCTTTTAAAATTCACTTGTTTACTTTTTTTAGTTTAGATTTTTTTTCAAAATCTTTAAATAGTCTTACATTTAAATTCAAACTTGCATTTTTTTCACCTAAAAACTCTAATTTTTCCACTACAAAGTTTAAACCAGAATTAAAACATTTTCTTTAACTATTTCCATTCTTTTTATACCTTAAAAACTTTTTAAAAAATCATTTCTTTTTTTTTTATTGTGGTAAGGGAAGGTAAAGCAAAGCAAGTGGAAAAAACTTTCCTTTGCTGGTGTGTCACATAAATTAAAGAAAAAAAATGGTAGGATACGTAGCCTCCTTTAATATTGTTAAAATTTTTCATAAGTAAGCTATTATTAATTGATTATTTTAATTTGACAAAATCGACTGATGAATTTAGTCTTAATACTAGTCTTAATACGAGATAAATATAAAAACTTAATTAATTTTATGTGATCATCTAAGTAGGAGTTTTTACATATTTTATTGATGCAGACTTTTAGCCTGATAAACTTTTAATATGGAGGTTACTATGGTTATTTAAACAATAGGCTAATATCTCCTCTTCACGTCTCATATTTGGTAAGTATCTATTGAGAAATCGTTACGAGAGAGAAGAGCGAAGAGAAATATCATAGCCATTCAGGATCATTTCGCTTCTGTAATTTCACAATAACTACCCAAACAATTATACCTGATCTCGTTGATACAAGTAAGGTGTTCTAATCTTCACGTAATAATCTTAAGATTGTGCTTGCATGTGGTATCAGAGTTCGATTGTGTGAAATTAGAACCCTAATTTCATTATTATTTAATTAATTTTAGATTAATTGCTTGTTTGGGTAATTTTAATGTTGTTGAAATTTTTAAATTTTAATCGTTATTATGTAAAATTGATTAAGGGCTTTTGTTTCTCTCTAAAAGAGGATCAAATCCATAAAAGGATTATTTTCTAATTCCTTGTATGGAGGGAGAAATCAGAGTTCAAAGTTTTCTGTTATAATATTGGTAAAAATTATTGTTTTGATTAAATCATCAACATTTTATGTGTTTGATTTGAAATTGATCCATGTTTGATGTTTCTAATATGTTATAAAAATGGATCAAAGTGTTTAATTTCATAAAATGTTGTTGTAAAATTATCAAATCTGTAGAAAACAAAAACAAGTTGTTTATGGCTTTGAAGAAGCCAAAACTTTTCTCAAATTGATCATATTTTTTGTTGTTTTCTATGTGATTTTGTGCATGGGCTTTCTAGAAACTGAGTTTAATTGAGTGTTTGAAACTTCAATTTGATGAAAATGGTAAGAAAAAGCATAAAAAATGGCAAAGAAAACCCAAATGGATCAAGAACCACCCCAATCTAGTCAGTCCAACCTAGCTGGAGGTTGAAAAGATAGCTAGCCATGTTCCAGATGAGGCCCATGTGCAAAAGGAGGTGTATGCAGTGCATGTGGGCCCGTCCAATGACCATTTTCTCTAACTTTTTTCTAACGTGCTTAGAATTTAATTTTTTATTTTTATATGATTTTTTTGAAATTTTTTTAGTTCATGAAATATTTATTATTTACAATTCATGCTCTATTAAAAAATTATTATATGGTATGCACATGATTTTGCTTACTTTAGTACATGATAAAAGATTTTGACATGTTGGAAGTCTAATGGTAGTATGTACTCTCTTTAGTTAGATCGAAATATTTGTATACTATCGGGTTGAATTTTATATGCATAATTGGTTAGTAATTTAAAATAGTTTTAAATTAAGTTCAAGACCTAAGTTTAAATGCAATAAACATTACTTATAGAACCTAAGGAGATACATCTAAGTTTAGTATCTTAGCTGGAATAATCCATAGCATACATTAAGGTTGAGTATGCAAATTAAAAATTTTGGACAATTAATGAAATTTTCTAATTTGAAAAAATTTTTCATTAATTGATATAAGTGCTTGGCTACCAAAGTGGCTCACTTGTTGAAGTTAATGGAATATTTTATCATTCTAAGGTTATAGGATATTTGTTAAATTATCTTACGCATTTACCTACCCAAATGGGGTTTATGTGTAGGATAATTTGATTTGGAACATTAAGTATCATGGTTGAGGGTGTACCGATCTAAAAAATTTGTATGCCTAAAAGGGATAGGTTTTAAAAAATTAAGACATTCTCATATTAGTTTTATGTGAAAAGTTTCTAATCGCATATTGCATTCTCTACCTAAAGGAGAGTTTGTGATGATGCATCTGGATCTTTCAGTAATTGTTAGCACATTATGAATAATTGTTATACAACTTATGATATTGCTCATTGACTGATGTTGCAATTTGTTTTGAACAATGACTTTTACTATCAATAACAATCAAGCTACTATCAAAATACTTCGTGGATCTAATTATAAGAGATGGAATAAATATCTAAATTTTGCTTTAATTATGAGCAAGATAGACATAGCCTTATATTTTCCAAAGTCTATTGATCTTACTAATGAAAATACTGTTGAATAAAAGAAATTTTTTACCAAATGGAAAAAGATAAATCACATGTGTCTATATGCCATTAAGAGGTCTATCTTTGAACACCTTTTAAATAGGTTGGATATCACAGATATTGCTAGGGATCTTAACAATGCTGTAGGAAATATATACAAAAAAAAAAAAAATTAAGGTTGGGAACCTTATAAATGAGCTTCCAAGTATAAGATATGATAGTATAGGAGCTGTTAGAGATTTTATTATGAGAATAGTCCATATTCAAGCAAAACTGACTTCTCATGAAATTATCCTCATTGACAAATTCATTATTCACTATGCCCTTAACTCCTGACCTATTGAGTTTACCCATATCAAAACAGCCTGCTAGGAATGAAATTTGGAGTGTTAATGATCTCTTCTCAAAATGTGTTTCTGAGGAAGAAAAACTCAAGAAAGAAAAAAGTAAGAGTGCTTATCTTACTACTTACTCCAAACCCAATTATTAAAGAAATTATGGGAAACCTAAAAGATCTGTTCCTAATGCTTGTAAGAAAGTTCAAGATGATAAGAAACAAGGTAGTAGTCAGACTAAAGAGGTAGCCGATCCTAAAACTATCATTAAAAAAAATATTAGTTATTTTCTTGTGAAGAAAGGTCACATGAAATTTGAATGCCCCAAATATAAGGCTTGGTTAAAAAAAAAAAGAATAAACAAGAAGGCAATTCATTAGCTCTGGTTTGTTTTGAATCTTACTTTGTTAGTGCTTTACTGAATTCATGGTGGCTTGATAGTGGTGTAACTATTCATCTTGTTGTTACCTTGCAAGGGTTTAAAAGCAAAGCCAACCAAGTGAAAAAGAGGGCAAATTGAAAGTTGGAAATAATGCTGAAGTAGACATTATTCATATAGGAACAATAAGTTTAAATTTGGATTTTGGCTTTGAACTTGTTTTGGAAAATGTTTTTTACGTACCTTCATTTAGAAGGACTTTGATTTCAATTTCTGTTTTGGACAAACATGGTTATTATTTTCACATTGAAAATGGAAAAGTTGACTTGTTTTTAAATTCAAATATTGTTGGTGGGTTTAAACTTGTTCACAATTTATATAAATAGTGTTTGGCCTTCAATAATGAATGTAATTGTAATAACGTTGAAAAGATAGTGTCTAAAAGATATTTGATTAAAGAAAACTCTATCTTGTTATGGCATAAAAGGTTAGGTCACATTTTTTTATGAAAGAGTTCAAAGATTGATAAAAAATTGTATTTTACCATCCCTTGATTTTTAAAAATTAGACACTTGTATTGATTGTATAAGAGGTAAACTAACTAAGACTAAGAAGAAAAGGGCAACTTGCAATTCTGACCTTTTGGAAAATGTACATATTGATAATACTGGACCTCTTACATCTATTTTCTGTAGTAACAAATATTTTGTTACTTTTATTGATGACTATTTTCGTTATGAGTATCTTTACCTGTTAGGTGAAAAATCTGATACTTTTGATAAATTCAAAATTTTTAAGACTAAGGTAAAGAAACAATTAGGGAAAGTCATCAAAGTTATTAGGTCTAACCATGATAATGAGTATTATGGCAAACATGGTGAAACTAGACAACACATGGGACGATTTGCCAAATACTTACAAAAGTGTAGGATTGTTGCGTAATATATTATGCTTAGTAGTCTTGAACAAAATGGTGTAACTGAAAGATAGAATCACACCTTTAAGGATATATGAGGAACATGATAAGTAAGACTAATTTTCTTGAATCTATTTGGGGTAAAGCCATTAAAACTACCATGTATATACTCGATAGGGTACTTAGTAAATCAGTTCCTAAAACACCTTTTGAATTGTAAACTGGTAAGAAACCTAGCTTGAACCACTTTTGAGTTTAGAGATGTTCTATCAAAGTTAGAATCTATAACCCTTCTGAAAGAAAAATTGAACCCAAGAGCACTCATTACTTTTTCATAAGGTCTCTAGACCATTTTAAGGGATATAAGTTCTATTGTCCTACATGTGAAACTAAAATTATAAAGTCGCAAGTGGCAAAGTTTCTTAAATTGAATGTTGCTGATAAGGGTATGGCAAAGGCTGTGAAAAATAATGAATATGTTATACATATCTCTGCTCATTTGCCTACAATATAGTGCCATGTTGTGCTAGTGGCCATAAAAAAAGAAGATCGAGGGCAATTGGATACAAGCCTGTCTCTTATTAATCTCGTTTTATAGATATACCGTAAGTTTAAGAAAAT